TTGTAGTTGGGGGTTGTTCCCCGCCGAGGTCCGGGACCTTTTTCCCCCCGCCGAGGTCCGGGACCTTTTTCCCCCCGCCGAGGTCCGGGACCTTTTTCCCCCTGCTGAGGTCCGGGACCTTTTCCTGCCAATTTGCTCTGGAAACATCACTAAACACTCACAGGTTCTTGGGGTGCAGCTGACACCAAACACCTGAGGGTTTCTCCTGATACTTTACAATTTTCTCAGGTATTTCCCCCTGTGTTTGCGGAGGTTTGGCTCTCACAGCACCCAAAACATCTCCCAGCTGCTCTTCCTGAACCTAAAGCGCTCCGTGCAGACAAACTGAGCACAAAAGGCGTTTCCACACCAGATTATTTTCGTCTGGTGCTTTTTATAGACTCCTCTTGGTCTGGGAAGCTGGGAATTTCCGTGTTGTCACGCTCGGTCTCGCCTGTTGGCTTGGGCAGAGCAGGGCTGGGAGCTCGGCCACCGCTCGCGGCCGGGACATCTGTGTCTGGGGACGAGGGAGGGTTTGGTGTCTGGCAGCAGGGGAGGATGTGGTGGGAGCATCCCCCAGCAGCCTTCAGAGAGTCTGGGCGAGAAAACTTTGCCATGATTCAGCTAAAACACCCTCAGTTTGGCTTCATAAATTCATAAAATCTCAGGTTGGGAGGGACCACAAGGATCCTCCAGTCCAACCTTTTGAGGTAAAACACAGTTTAAATGAGAGGAGCCAGCGCCCTGTCAAGATGAGTCTTAAAACTGACCAATGGTGGGGAATCCACCACTTCCCCTGGGAGAGTATTCCCATTTCTGATTGATGGGTTGTTCCCATTTCTGATCCATGGGTTGTTCCCATTTCTGATTGATGGGTTGTTCCCATTTCTGATCCATGGGTTGTTCCCATTTCTGATTGATGGGTTGTTCCCATTTCTGATCCATGGGTTGTTCCCATTTCTGATTGATGGGTTGTTCCCATTTCTGATCCATGGGTTGTTCCCATTTCTGATTGATGGGTTGTTCCCATTTCTGATCCATGGGTTGTTCCCATTTCTGATTGATGGGTTGTTCCCATTTCTGATCCATGGGTTGTTCCCATTTCTGATCCATGGGTTGTTCCCATTTCTGATCCATGGGTTGTTCCCATTTCTGATCCATGGGTTGTTCCCATTTCTGATCCATGGGTTGTTCCCATTTCTGATCCATGGGTTGTTCCCATTTCTGACTGGTGATAAGGTCCCTCCTGAGCCTTCTCTTCCCAAGGCTGCACAGGCCCAGCTTTCTCAGCTCTTCCAGTGCTCTGAACACCCTCGTGGCCCTGCTCTGCACCCTTTCCAAC